GATTCAAGGCTCGTCTCTTCCTCGTCGCCGCCTTTCTCAGAATCAGAATCAGAACTATCTGCATCCTCGTCCGATTCAGAGCCAGCAAGTATAATCTTTTCAACTCGCGTCTTCTTCTTGGTCTTCTTCTTGCGGCTGTGCTGTGAGCCAGACCGCCCTGCCTTACCCGACTGACTCGCGCATTTGACCAAGTCTGTGGCATGCTGGAGCCCCTTCGCAGAAGTAGAAACAAAGTGCAGCGAGCGCAAGCACCCTGGGTCGCAGCATGAAATCTCGAAGTACACTCTGCCGGTGGAAGTTGCAAACTGCCGAAAGCTCAAGGGCCGGAAGGTCGTGTCAACTCCGACTGCCTTGACCATGTCCCCTGACCAAGCCAATGGTCTGTCAGCATAGACACTTGCAACGCGCAACATGGAGGGCTGGGATACCTTCCTCGCAGACCATTTGCCAATGTCTGTTCCATCCCTCCGACTGACTGATCCGTGCCATTCCAATCCAGTCAGTTTGCCTTTCCAAAGCTTCGGATCTTTCTGCTCAGGGGCATCAGGCTCCAGTAGCTCTATGCTGGATGTATAGAGATCCTCAGTCTGCACTCTGCCTTCGATGCACAGGCCCGTTGCCATCTCGAAGCGCAGACTCTGGCCGTGCACAGTAGCCACAGCCAGCGTCTTTGCACGAAGCTCCTCGTCGTCCATCTGCGACTCCACCTCCCAGATGCCGCCCAGGAACTGTTGCAGGGCTAGCTGGAAGCCATGAAACCTCAGCTGCGTACATGAGCCGCCGAGCCGTCGGCCGACGACTGTCAGCGCAATCCATGGTCATCCACCCTCTGTTCAATCCTACGAGTACGTTTTGCACTTTAGCACTCGCACTTAGCGCTGACACTTGCCTGCCGCCGAGGAGCTTTCCCTTCATGGCCCCGAACGGGTTGGCCTCACCACTGTAGAACGGTTGTCCATCTTTCCAAGTACCCGTGAACTCCGCAAGCGCCTCGTATCTCTCCTCAGCCGCAATCTCGGGCTTCCCAAAGGAACATGCTTATGTTCACAACTCAAAATGAATTTGCACATTTGCATCCAGGCTCGTTCCCGCCGGGCCGGCAGTACCAGATGAGGTTTAGTGCGGCTGCCCCTGCCCGAACTTCCCAGGTTCCTTCGAAACGCGAGCTGCTTTGGCCGCAGATATTCCCGACCACCTCACGACGTTTCAACGCATCAGAGGCCTTGCCTACCTTAGCTCACATTATAAGAATGCATATATCGGCATTCTAAGCTTGATCTGCTGCTCGTCACCGTTTCGACAACTTCGCCTTTCGGGTGCACGCGTCTACCTGTAACCAGATCCGCATCGACACTGCAATGTCCAGATCTGTCGAGCTTGGCTGCACCTCATCACCTTGGCGACCAGTCGCCAGTCGCCAGCAATGTGGTTTCAACCAATCGAATTGGGGACTGGTGGCCTACAGCAGCATGTCTTCATCCCGTAACTGGCATCCTGAAGTGCAGGCAGAGTTGCAAGGAGAGATATCCAGATCGCGGAGGGTCTGGCGAAGGTCGGAGGCCTGCTCTCCCCGGAGGGTCAGCCAGTACTCCCTGGAAAGGGCTTCATCAACCTGCATCGAATCCTCAGCTTCGTGCGCTCCTTCGAGACCCTCCGGAGCCACCACACCGCTGGGCCATACGAAGAGCTCAGCAGCCACTTCTCCGCTGACTGCCCCCTTGGTACAAGGCTCGCAAGATCTCGGCAGGTTTTGTCTGCTAGACTTCTGCTAGACCCAGTGAAACCTGCTGAAGAGCACATAATCTGAGTGTTGCCGAGTGTCTGCTTCCGGCTGCTTCCACTGGAGGAGCGACAGCCTCTCCGCCGGAAGCTTGGGCACTTGGAACCAAAGCGTGAGGTTGTAGGAGTTTAAGATCTTCTCGGAAACCTCAGCGTTGCCTCGCAGTGGGATCTGCTTGATGATGGCCGCGCCCAGTCCTGACCACGACACCGCACGGCCGCAGCAAGTGACAGGAGGCAATATTCAAAGGACCGATTGCGGGCACGCGTAGAGTCGCATCCGTTTTAGTATCCGCCGAGGCCGGCGGCCGGGGCGTTTAGATCGGCTTCTTGGGTGCCAAAACCTGACTGCACCTACGTTTACGGCAGCTTCGCAGAAACTTCGCTCTACCCCTTCATCTCAAATCCAAGACTACTTCTTATGGCATTTTTCGGAAGAAACCACGACCGAGTGGCGGTCGATCGACCAGAACTTGCCACTTTGGGCTCGGACAAGTGGGTCTGTGTCGTCGATGGTCTCATAACCACCCAGGAAGTCCGTAAATGGAGGCGGATTCGGCTGCTGAAAGCTGAAGACTACTGATCTGTTCGAGTCCTCGTGTCTGAGGCTGCTGCCAGTTACTTCTTTGAGAACCTGCAACAACTAAGGAATCAGAAGCTTCGGAGTGACACTTTGCCAGCAAATCACAAACATTGGGCGGCATGACTTCCACAACCCTAAGGCCCCTTCTATGGATCCCCCCTTTCCGAGCATGACACCTCGGCCCAGGCGTCATCGATTTCCTGCTTCTGTGCACGCTGTTGTTCCTGCAGGTCCTGCATGAGCACTGTGAAGAGGAGTGCCGATTCCGACCGCTTACGACAAGGACAAGGAAATTGTAAACGGATGCTGTCAACAGCCTTCGGCTGCAGAGAGAAGTTGAGGGTGTCTTAAAGGCATCGCTGCAAAGCACCAGAGGCTTCAGGCTTTAGGCAAACCCCCCCATTCTGGTCACACTTGCTCCGAAGGCAAGCAACCGTGGTGCATCCAGAACCAGAAGTTTGCAGTTTCGGTGCAGCTGGTTTGTGTTCCGGCGCTGGGAGCCTGCCTGTTCACATGTGAATGGGCTCCCAGGATCTCCCAGGACTCTTCTCACTGTATTGGGGTTGTTCACCCACCCGATCGCCATTCTGCCCTTCAGAGCACTCCACAAGACAAGGAGACCAATCCGACAGCAAAGGAAATAACCCTTCTTGCATAACATCCACCGCATCAGTACATAGATATGCAGGGACACTGCAGGGACGTTGATGACGGTACCCGGAGTCCTTTCGCCTGGACATCTCCATGGTGTCCACCGACTCCAGGAAGTGCTGCTGTGTGGTCTCCAGCACTCTCATCGATGACAAAATGCTCGTTCTTTTCGCGCTGCCGCGCCTCGCAGGAAGGGCAGGAAGGCCTTGTCATCTGGGGCAACTTATAGTGACTGGACCGAGAAGACTAGAGACGAGAGGCTTCTTCGATGCACAATTGTACACCCTAGGGGTGCGCCGTCCCGATGCAGAAACCTGCCTGTGAGCCCCGCTTGCGTCGTCCATGCCCAGCGTGGTGCTCAGTTGGCCAGTGAAGGTGAGGAACTCATCCAAGGAAACAGTTCCATCCAGGTTCTTATCCAATTGACGGAACCACTCGACAAGCTCGGCCTTTGCTTCTTCGGAGTCTTCCAATTGGAAGGCAGTCATCAAGAATGGCGCCAGCTCCTTCATGTCAATGTCTCCAGACTTATCCTTGTCAATCGTCTTGAATACATCGCTCACTGCACCTTTGAAGTGGTGGAGGCCCTTCTTCAGCAGCATGTGTCCTCGAAGCCTTGCCCAAACATCTACTGTTTCAATCTACACCCCGAGAACAGCTGGACCCGAAGGCTTCAGTTTCAGGCCTTTTCACGAGAAAGTCCCACTCGTCCCTGAGGCCGAAAACCTCCGCGACGCTCAGAGCTTGCCAGTTGTCGCCGATCGCCCTCCGACGACAGCCACCCACTGTCTTGAAAAAATTGGCTCGTGGGAAGCAGTCCTGCAGCTACTGTAGGAAAGTTAACTTCAACGTGCATGCTGTGATGAAGTATTCGGCTGGTGCCACGGCCAGCTACGAAAGGAAGCCGTCCTCCCAGTGCAATGCTTTCAGGAGCAAGTCCACCTGCCTCGCATCAAAGGAGGTCTCGCAATTGAAGAACCGCATGACTTGCTCCGCTCGGTGAGTCTGGAAATTGGTGCTGCCATGCTCGAACTTGAAAGCCTGCGCATTGCGCTGCATAGTGCTGCAACAAACGCTTCGATGACACAACCCGAAAGTGCTGGAGGGCACATGAACCCAGGGGGCCTCCTCGAAAGGAGCCTGCCAGTTGCCGAGGGATCTCAGGGCCAAACTCGCGCTGGAGGGTTGGAGAACAGGTCTGTCTTCATGGCAGTGAATGATTCGCCTGGCGTCGGAAGGTACCTTGCTTCACTTCTCTTTGTTTGCTGTCATGCTTCCTCGTGCCGCGTCGCTCTTGTGCTTTTCTCACCTGTTACAGCTAAGCTTTCCCCCCCCTCAGCTTCACCATGCCAACCCTGCCCTGCAGAAGTCACGACAGTGCGGCTGAAGGCCCGAAGATGCCGAGACTGGAACATACGAGTAGTATATAGTGATTTCTACGACTACGACCCTTGTTCTGGAGCCTCAATGTTTCAGCTTCCGCCAAGGAGACCGCGACAAAGAAACCTAGGCTGTCGAGCTGTTACACTCGGCGTCAAGCTTGGCATCTATACTCAATCTACAGCATGTCTATGAGGCGGGACATTAAACAAAACAGTGCTGCCTTCACTGTGGTGACGAATTTCGAATTCTTGCCTGAAGGACAACGCCTGTAACACAACCTAGCAACGATTGGGCTGCACGAAGGATTCCTGGCTTGACAGGATATGCTCCAGTTCCTGCACATTCGATGCATAGCGGCAAGAACGTCAAGTGGTGTCAGAAACGTCAATGTGCAGTCGACAGCTTTGTGGGTCCTGCATGGTCATGCTCGCAAGCTGTTCCGCGGGATCCTGATCGAATGCGGCAGCTTTGACCATCTGGGCATGCTCCTTGGCATGCGGAATTGACGGGGAAGCTTTTGGTGGAGACTCTGGTGCTGAAACAGGCTCTCTAACACCGGCCTGCTGCGGCATGCGCTGCACCCTCCGCACTTGAACATAACAAGCTAGCCAACAATTACCTTAAGCTCATCTTTCGGTAACGTGCTCCATTGCTTAGTTAGCGCGGCCATAGACTCGGGGCTGAGGCTTTCTGTCCCTTCACCAGGCGCAAGGATCGCAGTGATTTTTCGAAGACACTCGCTGGCTCGTTCGGCCGCTTGTGTTGTCCATTTGCTTCGGCCTCGAATGGGTTCGATGCCTGAAGGATCCCACCATTCCAAAACCACCGCCACGTTCTTGACTCTTCGAAATCCGGACCAGCTCCGGTTGAAGTAGTTCTGAGAGATGAGGGCATCTGCAGGCAAAGTGGCCAGCACAGGGCACAACTGGTGTACCTTGAACTCTGCTGCGCGGTAGAACTGCTTTGGTACGCTCTTCACCTCCAGTGTTACTTGCAATGAGAATTGCTCCTCCAGGGATCTGTGTGCGGCTACTCCCCACTTGCGCAGATACCCTCGCGCCCCCTCAATTTTTATCCAAAAGCGTTAGCACATCGTTTTTTGTTGCTCAAGTTAACATCGCCCCAGTACCCAATCGCTCGCCGGACAGGTCGGAACCCTCCGGCCTGCAGCTTTGCCTCGACATCTTTTGAAATCATGTCGAGGTCATTTGGGCAAAGAAGCCTCTTCTGGTCATCGCTGGTATGCCACCATAGCTTCACCTCCAAAGCACGAATGTTGGAACAGACGCAGGTCCCCTTTTGCGGTTGAGCATCGAAACCCTTGTCCCAGCAAACCACACAAGCATTTCGGGACACGAGCGTCTGCCGCAAAGCTGGAGGTGAACACAAAGACCGGCACTGCTTGGAAAGACCCAGCACAAAAACTGCAGTATGGACAAGATACGCAGTCTGGCGGCGCCAGAAGCACCCGGGGTTCTCCCAGAACCATTTGGTGGACAATGATGTGATAGTCGCTCTCCTGCACAGGTCTGCAGCGAGTTTTCAACAGCTGCTACCAACTAGTTTGCTGCAAATTCCAAGCCGAGCCTTCGCACAGTCGGAGCCGCCTTTAAAGACCTGCTGGAGATTTTTTACGCTGAGCATCGTCGCCAGGCTGCGCTCGTGACAAGCTTTTTGAAGGGTGTTGAACTCCCATGGCACAGGCTCTTCGCTGTCACGACAGTACATCATGTCCACAAACTTCTCGACCTCCATTTCTTGCTCTTGTTCTTGCTCCTGCTCCTGTTCCTGTTCTTGCTCCTTCTCTTGCTCCTGCTCCTTCTCTTGCTCCGAGTCAAGCTGCGTCCTGCTGACAGGCATCTGCTCCTGCGTGCCTCGCACGAACTCGTCCACTTTGTTCTGCACGCGTCTGAGCATCTGCTTCGCAGTAACCATCTCGAAACCTTCCTCGGAGTGAAGCTTGAACAACGCCTCCTCCTGTTGAGGGCTTGAATCCTGCTTGTCATCACATTCCTCCAACGAATCATCCATTGTGGCTTTGCCAATGAAGTCTTGCAACACGACCGAAAAATCTCTCGCTCGGGGCACGTCTTTGCTCAGGGTGAAGTCAATCTTGTCAACAAACACCTTTGCAGCCTTCAGGATGTGGTCTGACTCGGCATGATGGAAGCCTTCCCCGTCCTCCGCACCCAGAAGCTCCCGAAAAGCTGGCAGGCGCCAGGCATTGGCTGCATCTTTCAGTTGCAGAGAGGCCCACTGCAGCTGCTCCGCACTTGCGGAATTCAGCATGAGCCATGCAGTTGCTTGCGTGACACGTTGTGCTGGCCTGCAGGTCTTCGTTTCCGGGTCGATGTCCTTTGCGTAGGCTGCATCCATGAGTCGACGGATCTCCGGCACAACTATCAAGTGGATCTTTTGACCTTTGCCAATGCCTCTCATGCGGTAGGCTCCCTGGCAGTAGTCCCGAAATACCATGTCTTTGCCCAGAGTCAAAGCTGCCACTGCATCTGGTTTGTGTTGAATGTCCATTCCAGTCGTGTGCACTTGATCGTAGAACACAAACCTCCGGTCAAGAGGAACAGAACTGTCTGAAAGGTTCAGAATTGCTCGGGAAGACCGCAGAACGATCTGTTTGCACCCATCTTCCGTCACGAATACGCAGGCATCAAATTCATCAGACAAGCCCTCTGGATCGAAGAGTAAAAACTCTGCCACCTCCTGGTTGGACAGTCCCGTGATGAGGGCTCCGGTATCAATGAGAGCATTGAGGCAGGGATCCTGGCTGGCCGCAATCCTCCTCAGGAGGAACTTCGCATCCCAGGCAGCTTCGATGTCTTCATCAACGCTCATAATGCCACCTGTCCAAAGGGCCAACAGCCAGACAATGTCGCTAGACTTACCTTGATGCAGCGGAACGTCTGTCTATCAGAAGTAACACGCGGCCTTGTTCAACGTGAGTGCAAAGGTTGTGGATGCACTGTCCCTCACTGCCCGGTTCGAATTCGCACGAGCCCAGCCTCAGCGACATGCCAGCAACTGTCTTCGACATGCTTGGTTGGGGAATCCTGGGGATCTGGCTCCAGCGGCATCAAGTCTGAAGGCGTTCCGGAGAATCCAAGTCGGGTCTGAAAGAGCACGCTGCCACCCAAATCCTACGCGCAAAGCGAAGCTTCATGCAATGCGTGTGATTGTGGATCCCTTAAAGCCGTTGGAGCAAGTTCCGCATCTCCATTAAGTTCGTATCATGGATGCTGCAGTCGAGCGCGTTGCGGCCTTCAGGACACACCAGCGCAGCTGGCTGAGTTCGACCGTGCGCAGTTTACAGCTGTGCTTCTCAATGCGATGACTCCATGTCAGGAGATTCAGCGCAAATCAATCACGTGGCACGCGCCCGGATTCTGCATAGTTTTGCGAGAATGCGACTGCTGGGTTGACATGGAAATTGCTGTCTCAAGCGGCCACAATGGTGCTCCAAATGGCGATGACTAGAGAACGGTCAAGAATCACTACCGACTGCAAAACCAAGCAGCAGCATGCATCCAGCGAAAGCCCGTGGCACAGGTCCTCCCCGCTGGCAGTAAGCTGTTGCCCCTGGAAGCGCATGTAGACCGGGTAGATGCAAACGGTCAGATACCAATCGATCACTGCATCTGTTCCTACAAAGGGGCGGGCCGGGCCGCACGGGGCGACGGAATTTGCTTGACCATCACTAGAGGTGAATCATGTGAGAACTTCTCTCCAGGATGACATATGCCGACAGGCTGTGTTCGGACGGTAAACGAAAGATCTCCACAACGGTACAGCGCAGCTCTTGTGCAGCCCCGCTACTTTATCTCGTGATGGTGACTCTCTGCAGATTTTGTCGTGGAAACTTTCAACTGCCTATATGCCAACTCACGACATGCGAACAACACCAAGAGATCGCTTCGCATTGATCGGATAAGTTGCTCAACAAGTGGGTGATTTTCGAACGCAATCTTTCAGGTAACCTCCTTTCGAGTGTGCCACCAGGGCTCGACAGAGCAGCTTGTGCAGTTCATCCATCTGCCGCTCGCTGGTACGCTCAAGCTCGTGGAACTGTTTGACCTGCCGAGTTTCAGCTCAGATCTCAAGCACGGATTAGCGGTCAGATTCCGTGGCTGAGGCGGCACCTTCGGCCGGTCGCCATGCAATTGTGCAGCCTCCTTGTCGCCCACGAGCCGGCCCCCGGATGCTTCCACCCAGGATTTAAACCTGAGAGAGAACAAACTTTGCGGGACCCACCACCACCATCGAAGAAGAACATCAAGCACCTGAAAGCTTTTCTCACAGCAGTCACAGGAACAGCTTGTTTGTCTCGCGCTCTCCCGGACGGCCAGGCTCCCGAGCATACCTCGAACACAGGTACGCTATGGTACGCTAGTACATATATACGTATATACATATCTATGCTAAGGATCCACCATTTTAGCTGTGTCTTGAGCCAGAAGCAGCTGATTCAGAAGACCGTGAGGCAAACGCAGCCTTTGCGAAACATGCGGTAAGCGAATGTGATACATGCGGCTTAACTGAGTGGACAGAGGGATAGGAGGCGAGAGAGACCGGGAGGCGAACAGGCAGACAGAAAGCAAAAAAAAAATAGAAAAGATGACAGACTGACAATGACTGGATGGATGGATGGATGGATGGATGGATGGATGGATGCACGGACGGATGGATGGATGAACGAGATAAAGAGACAGTGCGCCCTTTACTTGATCTCGATCAGAAATATCCTGAAGCAGAAGGTGCGGTTGGCGAAGGGGGCCACGGCCGCTCACACAGAAATTTCTGATGGAAATAAGCCAGGGTACTTCTCGGACAACGCTGACAGCAACTCACCAAAGTCGCTTCGACGCAGGCCCTGGTAGTGGTAGCTTAAGCAGCTGAGGCCAACCTTTGCAAAGGCGCATGTGATCATGGAATCTGTCTTGCTGCCTGCAACGAGCATTCAAAGACATGTTGCAAGAACATCGGGATGCTGGAATTCTGCGGCCGGTGAAGGTATGTCCTGGGGACGGAACTCAGCGCCACGGTGTGCCATGATCTGCTACCAGGTACCAGTAGAAACATTTACAGTCCGTGGTGCGTCCATGCCTGAATTATGCCGCCGACAAGCCAGTGGTCCTTGCCGATGAAGGGCACTCCAAGCTTGCTGCGCGTTTCGGACATGAGCGGGTTGTCTTGAAGTGCAGACTTCACCTCCAGGCTCACAGGTGGGTCTGGATGCCTATGCACCCAGAAACGTACTGAGTTGAGGTGTTCGGAGGAGGTTGAGCACTGCACTACAACTTCAAGAGCAAGAATGCTTCTTTTGGTTGTTCAGACGTCTACCTATACCTTTCGACTGATGGAGCGGACCTGTGAATCGGTCATGAGTCCAAAGGTCACTCGGTTGATCTTCTTCAAGCAGTGCGGAAGAAACACGTTGATCCAATCTCTCGCAAAATTCAACATTTTGCGATCGTCTTCCCTGAGAAGCTGAAAACGCTGCTCGAAGGTACCAGCCTCGACTTTCGAAGGGCAGTTGCCAACATAAGCCTGAATCTCTGCCGATTGAAGCCCTTGGTCTGGTTGATCCGAGAATTGCCTTCCGGTGCGCTGCCGATCCAGGAAGGTGGACAGCCACCTCAACAAGCAAGGTTTCATCCGTCGATGGTAGAAGGCTTCGTCGAGCAGAACCAGGTGAGGCTGCATCATGATGACATGCGCCTGGATGCCTTCTCCCACAGCATCACGCAAGGACCTGATGGCATCAGCTTCTTGCATCTGCGCAGCGGTGCAGGCAGACTCCGTGTAAGGATTTGCAAGGAAGATAGCTGTGAGAAGGTGTAGTGGTAAGTCCCATCGGGCCGGCGCGAAGTCTATTTGCGTCTTGAGGCCAGTCGGGAAATTCAGCTCAGACTTCAGTGGATGAAGCACCCAGTCCACCTCGTCAATAAGGACGACTCCGTCTCGCAAGATCTCCAGTGTACATCCCAAGTTGACCATGTTGCCTCGAAGCTGACGAGATCGCTGTCGAGATCTGCGGTCGTTCAAAATCAGAATGCTTTCGATGAAACGCAGCATCAGGCTCTTGATTGCCATCGGAGTCGTGAGAATCAAATCTCCAGCAGTTCGTATGCGCTGCACCTGGCTTGCATGCTCTACATAAGCGCAGCGCTTTCAACGAAACACTAAGACTTGCGGCTTCGATTGTTGGGCATGTGACGCATCTTTGGAAGTGCGGTCTAGGGCAAGGTGCTCGGCTTGATTGCGAAGGTGAGTTCTGAAGGCAATGTTTCACCTATATAAGTTCGACTGGCCCGGTTCACATGAAGCTGTGGCACATTGAGGTTTGGATGGCCTTGTGAATGTTTGCCGTTTTTGCACTCTGGCGGTAGGGTCTGCACATGTCTGCATTTACATGCATGAAAGGAACATGAAATCCTTGACCGAGTCCCACCTTATCGTAAAGCTGGCAGTCCACATCGTCGCTTCGCGACATTTGCAGCGTGAAAGTCCGCTTGACCACTATGTTCGAAAACACAGATGTCAGCACGGATCTCGCGAACCTGTGATTCACGGAAACACAGAGTCTGGCAGCACATTGCTCGTCTCAGCTACTTGACTCGTATGCTGACTCAAGAATTTCTGCATGTTGCTCCCTCCCTCCCTCCCTCCCTCCCTCCCTCCCTCCCGCAGGTCAGTCTACCGGTGTACAAGCCTCCACACAAGAAGAGTACCCAACAACCGACTACACACAACACACAGCCAAGCTCGACGAGAGTAGCAGCAGCAGCAGCGGCAGCAGCAGCAGCAGCAGCAGCAGTAGTACCACCACCATTGCAAACAGCGTCACTGTCACCGTCACCATCATCACCAACACTACCACCAACAACAAGAAAAGGAAGAGCTACAATGACAACGGTAAATGCAACAACGGTGATAGCAACAGCAACAACGACAACAACAAGGACGACGACGTCAGCGGCAACAAGAAAACCAGCACGACCACCACCGACGACGACAACGCCAGCAGCAGCAGCAGCAGCAGCAGCAGCAGCAGCAGCAGCAGCAGCCTAATCAACTACATTGACTCATAGCGGTGGCAAGATTTACGGCTTGTTCGCAGCACCGCCGAGATTTACATCTATATGTGTTGGTAGTATGGTAGTATGTAAGAGTAGCAGCGGCAGATATTACCATCCCACGAGAAGGATTCCGCAATCGATAAAACTGGCTTAAACTGTTGGGCGCAGGCGGCTCCAGAAGTGGAGCGGGTACCATCAACACCACCAACCTCCTGCCATCAGCCAATATCATACCGAGCAGGGGCGACACGACTGTTGTCTTTCCTGCTCCCATGATCCTAAGTGTTAGGCAAATCCACACCAGCCCTGCAGGAGTTTCTATTAGGTTTTTCAACCCCAGAAATGTCAACTAAGCTTAGGTTCAAAAGTTTGTGCTGGATGCCAGTAGGTGCTCATCTGTTTCACCAGGGACAAGTTCCTATCGGCTTTGCCGGCGAACTCGCGCAGCAGCTCCACCTTGACGTGGCTCTGTTACACATTCAGAGATATCTCTTTGCTAAGCCACCTGACGAAATTCGACATCACACTATGGATGCACCTGCCGTGGCCGGAGCAGCTTCTTGTCGCTGAACTCGAAGGTGAGCAGTCGAGGATCCAGAACGAACTCCTGACAAGAAGGAGAAACCACTCACGAGTGCAGCAGCCGTCGAGGGCGATGTGGCTACCCTGCCGTCCAGCAACTGTTATTTGGAACCTATACTATACTCACTATGATGCACAGCTCTTTGCCAACAGATCACCCCGTGCCGGCCGGCGACCCAGCCTCCTTGGAACTTTGCGTTTGTCTCTGGCTCATGTAAGACCTCACGCGTTCGCGGTGCTTCCATTTCTATCGCAAGACGGAGGGAGGCTGACAAGACTGCGATCAGCCGAACTGCGATCACCCGGGTAAGTAGTCAGAAACAAAACACAGATGGCCACCTGACGAAGCCGGCAAAGAAGACAGTCAAACAGTCAGGCATCAACTCTCAACCGTGCGTTTTGGGTGGCCACGCCTCTCAGCTGCCAAAGCTTGGCAAAGCACCATTCCTTCTTCCTTCGCGCGCTGCTCGTGGCCACTCCTAAGCACGATGTCACAGTTTTTGCGAAACATCCGTGCTGCGCAGGCTTGGTTCGAGTAGCTGGTCAAAGGATTAGGCTGCACAGGCACGTTCGTGGTAGAAGTGCCTGTTCAAAAGAATGAGGTTTCCGAGGTTAAGCCGGTTAAGCAAAGGGGCTGCACCACATTTTTCAAGCTGCGCAACATGTCCAGCAACCGGTTGGCCTGCACGACACGTACCTTCGAAGCACTCCCACAGCCGGGTAGCTAGGTACAGAGTAGGAGGGTGAGTACCTTCGCCCGCGTCACTGAGGACACGGCCGTTCGGAGCATCAGGGCTGCAGCTTGCGAGACCAGGTGTTTGCAAGCACTCTCGTCCAGGAAAGGATTCATGTGCTGGAGGTCCTTGATGCTCTTCGTGCTACAGATCGTTGCGCACAGGAACTGAAACCATGGTGTTGCTTCTTGGCCGGAGTAGCGCAGCAGCCAAAATCTCAGTTGACGTTCACTGTGTTTTTGATTCAAGCAGCTTGCGTTTTGCAACAGCTCTTGCGTCAACTTGCGCACATGGTCCACGTCCTTGCTTCGAAGTGCACATAGTTCTTTGTCGAGCTGCTCGATATTCTCCAAAGAAGGCAGCATGGAGCCCTGGGTGAAGAGCTTGAGCTGTGGCTGGCTTTGCTGCCTTGCAAACTCCAGCATGTCAGCGGCAATGCGCTTCATTGCAGCTTTCGCCAGCTCCGACTTCATTTTGGGGTGTTCCTCGAGCTGTACTGGAAGAGACCCATCTATCTTTGGACCAGCCTCCGACACGATGAAAGACTCTTTGAGGGAACCCATCGGTGCACCAGCAAACTGGCTCACATTCTCGGCATCTGAATCTCTCAGCACGATCGCATCCTGCATGGAGTCGCTCACCGTGGGTGGCTGCCATACGATCAAGCCCTCTGCCACAGGCCCAAAAATCAGCTCCGGGCGGACACCCCGCCCTGTTTCCCAGGATTTCCTGCGCTGCATGGGATGCAGGCTCACCTTCTCTGATGCTGCGCTCAAGCTCTGGAACGAGGCTGCGCTCCGTGGCCAGTTGAGATGCTGGTTTCTGAAGCATGCAACGAGCTCGCAGATTCTCGTGTAGAAAAGCGCCGCGTTCTTTGCAAAGAGCGTGGGCATGTGAGGCACTTGATCCTCGTTCTGGATCCTTGGGTTGGTGGAGTGTGTTCGCGCTTGCATGCACCACTGCTTTGAGCTTTGGACGCTAAGCCTGGGCTCTAAATGCTACAAAGCTGCAGAATCCTGAGCAAAGATTGGTTGGTCCCCGGCGTGCGGCTTTGACCAGATAAGAAGAAGAGGAGACTGCCGAAGGTGTGCGAGTGAAGCGGTGGGCTGCCATGAACAAGCTTCACCTTGCCGTGAAGGCCAGAGAGGGGACTTGACTACTGTGTTCGTGAGCTTACTGACATGTCAAGTCTATGCAAGGAGATATCCAGTCTAAGACTGTGTTTCGGGTATTCGTGCAATGTAGTAGTGGTAGCATGTGGTAGTGGCAATTCTGGCCCTAGCGGTTCATTCAGGAGAACCTCAATTCTGTCATGAAGACTACCATACATGGAACACATGAACCGCTCATGAAGGCCCGCCGCGACAGGCAGCATGCACCCTTGTGTACCATTCATTACTACCGTCCACCACTGCTACTTGCCACATCTCTTTTCAAGCAGTTGCCACCCCTCACGAGCCTTCATGCTGCCTTTGCCCTCGACCAACGCAGCATATGGCAGCCAGAAGGCTACGGCTTCGTCCTGGTTTCTCGCTGACTCAGGAAGACATGTTTCCATGCTTTGGAGCTTACAAAGCCACTGGCGGCTTGTCATAACATTTCGACGCACTTCGGATTTGGCGTGATGTAGAGCAGTCAGCGACGGAGTTCTCCGGCGGAGAACTGATGCAAACGGAACACAGCACGCCGTGACACGCGTTTTCTGTCGCCCCAGGGCGATCACCAAAACAGGATCGTCGGGGCCGGCTAGTGGCAACCAGCTAGCGGCGGCACGAACAGATATTGACTTCGAACATCCCCACCCTAAGAGAAACAATTTGGTGGGCCACTCTGCTGGAGAAATGCGACGGGGGCTTGGTGATGCAACGAGAAATATCCTCGGGGGTATTTTCTGCGGGACAGTTTAGGATGGGCACTCCGGGGAAACTCTGCACGATTCTCTGGGTATGATGGGTATGTTCTGGGCGGGATACTCTGGGGGCGGGCGCTCCCTGTTTGGGATGCTTTTGGGGGGGTACTCTCTGACATACTCCGGGGGTTCTTCGGGATAGCACTTCGGGGATTCGGATTCTCTGCAGGATGCTCTGGGTGGCATCGACATCCGCCTTGTCTGCCTCACCCTGCTGAGTCCTCGAAGTCGTGCAAAGCCATGAGCATGGCTTGCGCCGCCTCCGGCCTGGCTATGTATCATCTGTCGAGGACGCACCAAAGCCCCGAAACATCGACAACTGGGAAGTCTCAAACATTGCCAACAAAGATCAGCAGCATGGAAACTTTCTTTGGGAGATCTTGAGGGATCTCGCCCCCAGCCAAAAGACTTCTCGCGATGGTGTCATTGCTGCGGTGAAGCACGCTTCTGTCGACATTGTGGAAGACGCTCCCTGGAGCCACGGACCGGTGACTGGCGGTTCCCCGCTTTGGAAGAACCAGGTGCACGGGCTCTGAGCCTGTTTGCAAGCTTTCCAAGACCAGCTTGCGATTGGACAACGTGGCGACCATATCTTGCGGAAGCTCTTTCCACCGTAAAGCCTCCATGAGCAGCGCAGTTGCGTCGTCAAGGTGCATCGGGAGGGATGCGGACCGCAGCAATGCCTGGAGCTTGGCAGCAAATTTGGGACACTCCGCCTTCTCAGCCTGCTCGCGTTGGTGCACAGACTGCAAGTGCTGATTGGCAATCTGCAAGCGCCTAGCATGGTTGTCAATCAGCTCCAGGGCGCGGATCTCTTCCTCCAGCTTCAGACGACATTGTGCTGAAACATGAGCAAGCTTCTGCACATAGCACGCCATCTCCAGGTCCAAGCGCATGGGCAACCTCATGTTTGCGTCACCTGTTGCGATTGCGATCATAATCCTGGCTGCATGCGCATCAGCATGCTGGTCCTTGCCCAAGCTGCCCAAATGCTGAAAGACATGGCGTGCCTCTTCCTGGTAAGGGCTGTCTGTGGCTATTGATCGGACAAGCTGCGAGACCTGATCGTATAACCGATGCTGGAACTTCAAGAGCAGAAGGTACAAAGCCGCCGTCAACGTTTGAGTGTGCATGAAAGTGCCTGACAAATGCACTTCGTACAGGAATACCTTCGTCTCGTGATTGCGCCAGACCCGATTCTCACGCTCGAGCACCAGCTCCGAGGAAAATAGGTCTGCGGCGATGCTCGGCCGGTGAGTTGCCACGAACGGGACCAAAATGTAATGGTCATCGTTCTGGTCCTGCAGCAGAAGGCTATGCGGGATGCCGCGAAAGTGATGCAACTTCTCCACCGGAGCAGGGGTTGTGACACGCATTCCTTTGAATTCCTTGGACACGAGCTGCTTGGCCTCGTTACCAGCCTTCCATGACTTCCATGTGAAGCTAATGCCCAATCTTGGCAGCTCCACCAAATCCACTGCAGAACCCGAATTGGACCAAGCTAGCACATGCGAAAGGTTCTCAATGCGAGACATGAGCTGGGCCACAACAAAGCCGGCTGAACCTTCTTCCGCAAACAGCAGGTCAACCAGTCTTCGCACTGAAAGGCTTCCTCCATCACCCTTTGAGATTCTCGCAATGAATGCATGAATGCCCTTTGCGCCGGTATGCTTTGCCACGGTTCGATTAGCCAGTCTGACAATCAGCCAATGGTCCAAGTCCGTCGCGATTTGCTCTTCGCCCTTCGAGTTCAAAGGATATCCTCGAATCAACGATTCGTCTTTCATGTCATGGTAGAAGTGGTGCGACTTTAGGAGGCATTCTGGCACCACACCCTGCAGAACGTCCTTTGACAAGAAGAGCTCGCCTGACGCATGCGCATCACGCATGTTCGGATCAGATTTATTCAGAAGCATGGTAGGCCGCAAAAGTATCAGTGTTGGCAGTTAGGCTCCATGCTCCGAGTGACAAAAACTAAAACCGCAAAGCAGCGAATTAGGCCGGCAAACCAACAGCCAACCGACAGTCAAATGCCCTGCAGCAGCAGTGCCTACGTTTGTTACCCGCCTCGTCGTGTGAGCTTCGACCAGCTAATGCCGCGCGTCATGCGCGCGCTGCTGGCTGCATTCTCGAGCCCAGTCACCTCCCGATCGCAAATGCTTCAATCAACGTTCGGATACGGGCCCATGAAGGCAGCCAGGGAAGCAGAAGCGCATATCACTACGTCACACCACGCCAAGCACAAAAAATCCAAGAGATGCAGCACTTAGACTCTAGACCAACCTCCGTGCATGCAGTTGCGCATTCCAATTCCGTGCCTCTGCTCGCTTAGCGAGGCCGTGAAGGTTTCGCAACAACTTCGGGCTGTGGATCAGTGGCAGATAACACTCCTGTCAGGGTTGGTCCCGAGCAAAGATCTCTTCCTTCTCTCTCTGCCGCCCTCTCAGTGATGAATCATCCGGCTCCTCCTTCTGTTCGCCGTCAAAGGTGCCAGCGCCGCAAAGCAACTGGCCCTACGCACGGTCAAAGGGACAACGCGCTGAACAAGAGTGCTGACAGCCAGGCTGACTCCAACCATCAACATCCCGGTGGGGGTGTTGTTGGACCCTTCGAAAGAGACGTTTATGCAGAAAGTACCGTGCCTGCCACACGAAACACGGTTCCGTTTGGGTTTGTTGACGGCATTTGTTTGACGTTTAGGGCTTGGGCTTGGATGCGCTGAAGACTCGAGTTTTGGACATGCCAGTCGCGCTTGCGTCCTTGCGAGGCTCTTTGCCGGGAAGTTGAAGACTGAAAGTAGCGTTGGTTAACATGCCGAAATTACCACACCTGCCACACGAAACAGGGTTCCGCGTGGGCAATGGAACGGAGTGAACCAGAATGTGAGATCATATGATCTAAGACGATACGACACCATAATACAGTATGGTATGCTGTAACAAAAATTAGCAAAGGCACTGCGCAACCATCACCATCAACATCTACAACATCAAGACTACCAGGTACTACCAGATTCAAGGAGCACGCGCTGTCTGTCAATGTCACCATCATGAAGACAACAAGGCTATCACCATCCACATGCAACGATCTGCACAAGCCGGACGTCGTTGCCGCCTCCACCCCCCCGAACCCCAAGACAAAAGAAGCCAAAAGTAGACTAAAGCAGGTGCGGCTGTCCCCCCGTGTACATGAACATGTTGTGGTACCCACCTGGAACTGCAGCTTGCCTGTCCGCGAGGTGTAGCCAAGAAAAGCGCTGACGCGCACCTTCCGCTCATTAGTTCTGGTGCCAACCTGCCGTCAGAGTTACTTGGCACAGACAGACTGCTAACAGGAGCGACTGTAAGTTTGATCTCGGGGCTAGAAGGGGAGACTTGCAAATTCTTGGCACCCGACATGGTCGTCGTTAGGCTCGAGCATGTCAGGTGGCCACACCCAGGACTCTCCGTCGGGCCTGGGCCACATACTGAGGATAATTAATGGAGAAGTTGCGTGCAGGTTCTGGTGTGCTCGTGAAAGTGCGCAGCTCGCTGAAATGAATTTTTCGAAACCTGAAATCGCTGCTTTACCGGCAGGCTCGCTGAGCGTCGAGCATCCGGACCCTGATTCTATCGGGCCGATCGGTGTTTTCGACATCTCCTGGACGGCTCCGAGGGACTTGTGGCCACAAAATCATGTGCCTTAGGGCTAGCTGAGTTTGGTCCTCGAGTGCATCATTGTGTCATACATGATTCAATGCAATTTGACCAGATGCAAGATGAAACTGGCAGCATAGCTGCTTCAGGCTAACTAAACTAGACAGACAGGTCTGGGTCTGATATCGGTCCTGATTGACCCAAGCACTTTTCCATGTCGCTGTTCCATCCACCGTGATTGCTTAGGCGACGCTGTGCTTCTTCAACGCTGACGAGCTTGATCCGCATGTGGCCCTCGCAAGTAGTAGAGCAACTCGTTCGGGCATCGATCATACTATCTGACTCACGA